TAGATATGGAGCTTTAATAAGTTGTACTTACGTACAATCTACTTGCAATCTTGAGTTTTAAGTAATATGCATTAATAAACAGTACTTTACGCATGAAAAGTTGTTTTTAAGAGTTTTTTTCAAATACTTTATAATATAGTATAGACATAAGGAGGAGATGATGAATCATAAAGTTTGATAAAAAAAATATTTTAGTGTTAGTTGGAGACGTGTAATTGAAAAAAAAAATTCATATGTAATTTTTTCATAAAATGAACACAAAAATATGTAAAATAATATCTTAAATTATAGTTTTTGATGATAAATATAATGCAAAAAATTATTTTTTATATCAATTCTTAACAATTTGTAATCATTTTGTGGTTCTCATTTTTTTGTGGTTCTCATTTGATTATCATCCCCCTCAAACACACACACACACACACACACACACATATATATATATATATATATATATATAATTGCTAAAAAAAATTCATTTTTGTTAATTTAAATATTATCTCTCTCTTTATATATATGTGTATGTATAAACTCTTTAATATATAAATCTAGAAAATTTATTACAATCATTCATATATATAAATAAAAATTTATCGACTGTGATCCTGCTATAGTTCACCGCGATATCAAGCCCATGAATATTCTTTTGGATGCTGATTTGGAGCCTCACATCTCAGATTTTTGCATTGCCAACGCTTACTAATATCACTTATCTTATTGATTGAACATGATTAAGACTGAGAATATTAGTTGGTAAGAAATATAGCAAGGATCGAAACTCTTAACTTGTAAGTGAGGGAGAAGACTCTTAGGGGTCGTTTACCAAATGCTTACCTGGATAAGCGCTTACCAAGCCGCATTACGTTAGTGAATGAATATAGCAAGCACCAAGAATTTTACCTGGTAAGAACGAGACAAGGAACATGAATCTTACCCGGTAAGTGAATGAGACGACTCTTACCACGGTAAGAGCTTATCAGGTAAATTATTGCATATGGTGCCATTTTGGCGGACTAAAATCTTACCCGGTAAATAAGTAATATTGTTGAATTTTACCGGTAAACACTTATCGGATAAGTTTTTGGTAAACGACCCCTTACTCAATTAGCGCTTACTAACAATTCATTTTGATATCTGAGAATAAACAATAAGATCTTACTAACTACAGTTGACACTATTAATATTTTGTAATAAACAAAGAGGTGTTGGAACTTTCATGAACGAAGATGTGTTGGTTTTCTTTTGGGACAATCCAGAAAGGATATTGTTGTGCATCTATATAAATGTTATTGCTCATGTCAAAATCCTTGGGTTTTTTTCCCTACTTTTCACTATTATTTGTTCAAAGTTTTTACCACCATCTTGACAAGCATGTTTTGGAATTTATGTTCACTCATTATGAACATAAATCTAAGAGTAGCATAACTTTATCCTAAAGTAAAATCCCAAAACAAGCTTGTAAACGATGAATTTTGAAAACATTCTGATTTTAAATAGAATTCTATGGTTATTTCACCAAGTCTCCCTTGATCTTAGATTTAGAACAACACAGGGGAGTCCAATCTCAACTATTCTCTAACGAGTAAATAAGAATCTTCATTTCTTTTTCCTTCAAGAAACTAATTTATTTTGTGTTCTGAATGGTCTAAATTTCATTTTCAACTGAAGAAATCGTTGAGGTGCTTATTGAGGGACAAAATATCTGGATCACTTGGAGGGGAAGTTGTTAAGAATGAAAGGCATGTTCACCGACTTAATGGCCTCTACATCTACAATCAAGGTAGAGACAATTGGGGACTTGAATCCTGTATGTGTTGCATTGCAAGAAACTCTTAATACAACATGTGAACCATCAAGATCTCAAAGATATCTTGCAAAAATTTGAGATTTAAATCTTCGAATCATTACCAACGTACTCATGCTACAACGCAACACGCAATTCCCACACTAGTATATATATTAAAGGAGAAACCAAATATAATGAGGTGCCCTCTTCTAAACATTAGAAGCCTATCTTTTTTTTTCTTAAATTTTTGATTTTTTAAAATATTTGATATGTAAAAGACTTTTTCATTCCTATTTTTAAAACATGAAATTTATTAGCATAGGGTTGTTTTAGTAATTTTAAAAAGTTTGACCTCCAACCTTTACAACTTCATTCTTGGAGGTGAAACCTCCAAACCCTTTGATGTACTCCTCCATGATTTGTCAATGTTTTTATAATATTAAATAAGTTATAGACTATTCTATCCCTAAATTATAAATACGTATTTCATTATAAGAAGGTTTCTTTGATAATTTTACTTCCAACTTAATTAACTTTAATTTTTACATTACATAACTTCCTAGGGATATTCATTATAATCTTTCCATCTACTAATTAAAATAAGCTTACAATAAATTGTGTGGCACATTGTCATAAGATGATTTTTAAAAGAGTTTTTCTCATTGTTTTGAATTTATGAAATGTTAAATAATTTAAATATTTTTCTACCCGTGAATGAAAAATGTGTATTTCATTATTTTCTCCAAAATAATAACAAAATTTTCCAAGTTAGAGATGTCCTTAATTGAGCATTTGACATCACTATTTTATATAAATCTGAAAGTAAAATATGAAGTTTCTTATGTGACACTTTATGGAAAAGTTATTTCATTATTTTTTTTCCTCAAATTTTTAGATTTTTTTTAAATTTATTTTGTTGGTTATACTAATTGTCTTTCATTAACTCATAAATGTTCTAGACCTTTCGTTTTCTATTCCGTTTTTTTATCTCATCTATATATTATATATCATTTAACGTTTTTTTTCTTTTGTTTTACTAATTTCTCCATCATATTGCAAACTACACAATCGAATGTCTAATCAAGATGGAAGCTACATTCTTTATGGTTTATTTTATGTTTTTATGTAAGCTATTTGTTGTTATTGATGTGTTGTGTTTTTTTTGGGCATAAATTTTTTATCGTCAAAATCGTTCTTCCTCCACAAAATCCATGTAAGAATCGTTACATTTTATTTTTATGATTTGTGTGGGTTATTTGATGTTGATGAGTGTTTTTTATTGTTATTATATTTTGTTAATTATTATTATATTTGTTTTTCTATGCATTATATATTGTATTTTTTGTTATGTAGAATGATTTTATTGTCCATATCTAATTTTATTCCTCTTAATTTATGATTTGTGTGGGTTATATGTTGTTGACAAATGTTTTCTTTCATAAATTTCTTATCTATTATATTTTATTGACTATGATTCTTTATCATCCTTATTTTTGGAAGTTATTTATGTTGTGTGTGTGTTCTTTTTATGTGTCTTATTATTTTGCGAACTTTTTTTTATTGATATTGTTGTATTTATTCAAGTTTTATTTTTTTTGTTTCCCGACAACAATCAGATTGTGATTAAATGTGATCTATGTGGTGTTCTGTTATAATAAATTTTCTTCTTCGTCTTTTATATTTACCGAGTTTATCAATTTGTATTTTTATGTCATTCTTTGTATTGTGGTTGTTAAGAAATCAATATGTATCATATGACTTTTTGTTATTTAAAAAGAACACTTAAAATGATGTTTATGCATTTATTTATTTGAAAATCAATAAAATGTGATATTCATGTGGTTTCTGTATGTGTATTTGTTTGCTTTTATTAAATTATATATATATATATATATATATATATATATATCATATGATATGTGTTCTTTGTTTTATTATGCTTAAAATTATTTAAATTTGTTTAAAGTTTTATTTATTTATTTATTTATATAATATCATATTTAAAATACGTAATGAAAAAAAGTGATGTTTTTTTATTGGGTATAAATTGGTTTTTATATGCAGATAACGAGATTAAAGACTTTGTATGAAAAAAAAGAAAATTTTATTTTTTTTATATATTCGGTAACACTAATAAAAGAAAATGATATATGCATGCGTTGATATTGCAATATTTCAATATCAATTTGATTTTTTTTTCTAAAAAAAATTATCGTCACCGCACGACATACAATGCACAAAACTAGTACATATAATAATCTTACGTACAGATATCTGTCAAAATAAGAGAGGATGAGTATTTTGTTGATGAATTTGTTAATATTACCAAGGATTCTTTATATATGCTTTTCTCCATCTTTTATATGAATTAGGAAATAATAAATCTTTGTTGGTACAATTAAATGTGTGTAGTCATGATGTTATGTTGTATGAATTTATGTTTTTGGATTTATAGTCTTGTTATTATTGTCATTTATTTGTTTCTTAGGCAGATATAATATTAAAATTAGTGAAAATTCAAAATCAACAATGAAATAATATGTATTTGAAATAAAAATTGTCACATTCAAAATCTTGAATGTGATATTTAATATTTATTTTTTATTGCGTCAATTAAATTTTTTCTATTAAATTGATTTTTTTTTGCATTAGTGAAAAACAATTTTTATTGTGGTAATTTGGATTTTATTTTAAAAAAAAAATCTTCAATTTGATATTTGAATTTTAAAAAAACGAGATTTGAAATGAAAAATGGATTTTATTGTATTAATTTTTGAAAAAAAAACGAATTTTAGTTATTTTTCCTATAATTATTTTGCAAGTTGGTTCCTCAAAATAGGAATCAGGTGTAAGTTGGTTTCCCAAAATGACGATTTTGAAAATTGGTTCCTCAAAATAAGAATCAGGTGAAAGTTGGTTCCATTTTGGTGTAATTTTTCTTTTATTTAATCATCAAATAAAAAAAATTATTTAAACCATTTATCTTATGTATTTGATTAATAAAAAATCAACAGTTTAAAAATTCATTAATAAATTTAATTAAAAACAAAAAATATGAAAAACAAAATATTCATATTTTAGGTGATTAATTTGATTGTTAAATATATAAAATAAGAGGCAATGGGTTTAGTTGGTTTTGAAGTCGATTAGTCCCACACCGACAAGAAGAACGACATCAGACTGCTTTATATGGGGAAGCTCAGCAGCAGTTATCGTCCCTTCGGGGACATCCGATAAAATTGGAACGATACAGAGAAGATTAGCATGGCCCCTGCGCAAGGATGACACGCACAAATCGAGAAATGGTCCAATAAAATTGGAACGATACAGAGAAGATTAGCATGGCCCCTGCGCAAGGATGACACGCACAAATCGAGAAATGGTCCAAATTTTTTTCTCTTCTTCTTTGCCAAAACCCTACCTTCTCCTGGTCGTTTAATGATGGCGGACTGTGGAATCGGTTGAGGACATTATTACATTGTGGTTATTGAGCTCTTTTTATTTGCTTTTGGTTGCTCATCGCCTCCTTATGCTCAATTAAGGCTCGAAATCAATGTGTGCAGCCATGGCCGTATTTTGAGGAGGTATCCATCAAAACTTCCGCTTTCAAACGATCTGTTGCATCTGTGTGTGTATGTGCAGTTATATGATTGTGTTTCGAACTTCAACCTCTTAGAGCTTTTTTTATTTGGTTTTGATAGATTATCGCCTCCTTATGCTGAATTAGGGCTCGAAATCAATGAAACACCAGGGAGCAGCCATTGGCGAATTTTGAGGAGCTATCTAAAAATTCGCTTTCAAATGTATCTTGCATCTGTGTGTATTTGAGCAGATATATGATTGTGTTTCGAACTTCAATCTCTAAGAGCTTTTTTTATTTGTTTTTGATTGATTATCGCCTCCTTATGCTGAATTAGGGATCGAAATCAATGAAACACCAATGGGGGCAGCCATGGTCGTTTTTTGAGAAGGTATTCATCAAAACTTTGGTTTTCAAATCATCTGTTGAATCTGTGTGTACATGAAGCATTGAGCAGATGTATGATTGTGTTTAGAATTTCAATTTCTCAGTTTAAATCTGTGTACGCTTTGCATTTCAATCAGGGCATTTTGAACAACTTATCTGAATTTGATTGCAAATTATGGTTTTGCCAATTTTGTGAATCTGATCAATTTATTTGCCACTGGCCAAGGCTCAAATTATGATGTTTATGATGATTTGTGACAGAAAATATAGTAACAAGGATGATCCTAAGCAATGGCGATGATAACTGGTTGAATGCTATCCAAAGTCGTCATAAAAGATGTGGAAGCCATGATCAGCTTCATGTTGCTGTTGATTTCTTCCAACCATTATTGAAAAGTAAGGCTTTGTTCGTTAGCAGTTTGATGAGTTCAATGAGACTCGCGGCTTATTCAGTCAGCTATACATGACTCTTTGGTTGTGACTATAATAATCTAGAAAGTGGCTTATTCATAGAAGAGCACTGGTTGAAAACTATCTGAAGCCGTCGTAGAAGATGTGGAAGCCATGATCAGCTTGATGCTGTTGATTTCTTCCAACCATTATTGACAAGTAAGGCTCTGTTTGTTAGAAGTTTAAAGAGTTTAACGATGCCTCACGGCGTATTCAGTCAGCTATACATGATTGTTTGGTTGTGGCTTAATGATATAGAAAGTGACTTATTTAGTAAGTTTCAAATGGGGAGCTTTATGCAAAAAACCCAAGTTTTTTTTTTCAAATCTTGCCCCTCCCAATGAAAAACACGCTCCTACCATCTATATGAAAAAACCCTCCTAAACAAAAACTTTGTCAATCTATATAGATAGATTAATCCATACATATAATTTTATCCATACAGTATATAATAAAAAACCAACCAAACAGCGCCTAAGTGTGATCTTTCCTTCCTTTTCCCATCTTTTTGGCCTGTGCAATATTTGTCCTTATGGCCGTAGTATTGTTTGTTATCGTAAGAAAACATAGTGGTTGCCCAGATTATCGACTATGTGTCGTGCATCCCAATTCTGGTCATGCTTTCGGGTTCAAGGTAACTAAAGGAGAAGTGAATATAATCATATTTCATAAATAGTAAATTAGTTCGCCTACTGTCACGCTCAATCCCCCCCCCCTCCCCGGGGGAGTGGGAGTTCAAGGACTCATTAATTCCGATGCTTGACTATCCTGATGTTACAAGGATCAGCTTTGATAACATTTATAAAATTCCTTGACAACAAAGCCGATAGGCTGACCCAATAACCTTTAAATCAACTTAAAACTATGGTGTTTATTTGTAGCCCACAACTTTGAGCTTATAGGGACCCGAGAAATCTAATTTTCTATCCATGTGAGACGGGTTTTTACACCTATTGAAAGGCTGAAAACTTGGGGCCTATTTTGTTAGAAGCTTAATGAGCTTAACGGGACTCGCAACTTATTTGGGAGCTATGCATGACTGTTTGATAGGGGTAAAATGTATAGAAAATGGCTTATTTATTAAGCTTACTAGGGGGAGCTTTATGCAGAAAGCCAAGTTTTATTTAAACCTAATGGAAGACCAACTAAACAGTCCCTCAGCATCGTCTCACACCAACCGGGATGAGACCCGCTCCTTTCATCAGCAAATTGCGGTTTTAACTGATCTGTACGAAACTTGAGTGACCATTTTTATCTATTTTTGTCATTTTTAACGGCAGCAACATCTTATACTGAAAACTTGGCCGATGATTTGTTGATTTTGATCGAATTACTTCTCTTTTAGAACAGTTTTTCTGTGACATTTACACAGCACTTTAAAGGCAAGCAGAACGATTCAAATGTCAGTTTCAGTCCACGGCTAAGCCTTCCACGACGACGAGATGTCGGCTACAGCTTCACTGACTGTGAGATACAGTCCATCCGATCCGAACGACTCCAAACTGTTCGATTGGTGTAGCTTTTCCGTCACACTTCCTGCAGGATTTGCCAACACAAGTTGCATTCCAAATCAAACAATAATTTTATTTTTTACTTTTAGTTCATATTATGATAATGTGGAACCTCGTTAGATTACTCTCTAAAAGAGTCTTTGATAAGGGAATAGAGGTTCCAACATGTATCAAGTAGAAATGGTCCAAGTATGGACGGGACAAACCTCACTGTCCCACGTTCGACACGACATGGGACATTGACAAGAACTCACTGTTTCACGTTTGGCGCGACAAAATGGGACAGCGTGGGACAAGAAAGCTTTTTCTTGTTTTTGTAGTTTGATTATATATTTATAATCTCACATTAACCATGTTTTTTTTCAATACTTTGCTTACACTTTTTTAATGCCAATCCAAAACATATGCCAATTTCTCTCGACTTTCTATGTTTTTTCTAAACTTGACATTTTCTAATGTAAAAACCATTTTGTCAATTTAATAGTGTTCAAATAAATAAAAAGATTTTTATTTGATATATACTTTAATTTAAAAAATTTGATTTGTTAATGGATATGTAAAATATTTTTTGGTTAGAAAGTTTTTAAAAAGAAGATGTTGATCACATTAAATTTTAGAGCAATTTACATTTTATAGTTTGCCCAACGATTGATTAGCTCTCCACAACAGTTGCTAATTAACGATGTTAACTCCAGACAACCTGAATGTTATGAAATTGAAAAAGTAGAGACCATCAATGTAGAAAGTTTGTTTTAAAAACCAAAGCCAAAAATTTGAACAAATCACAAAGACCATCAACGTAATTCACTCTATTTTAAAAACATTATTGGTCCTTGATTTTGGTCACTAGGTCCATTAAATGATAAGTTATAAAATTGGTTTTTTAAATCAGAAATTAATAAAAAGTATGTTATATTTTCATAAAGTTTATTTATATATAAATAAAATTAGAGTCAAGCAGTATGGGGATATTAGATTACAAGTTCTTTTATAACAGGATGAATGTCGTATGATACTGATAAAGGCTAAGACAAGAAATAATGTTGAACCACTACGAAAGGAAGGGAAAGAATATAGATCGAAGAACCATCAGAAAGTCTAATAGTTGGGTATGATCAGTATTTTGTTTTAAATGAATACAAAACAATGTTATTTGTATCATGAAAATGGAATCGTATTGGACATATCTGAATATGATGGTTTATATCTAAAATATTGGTATTTTTTTTAACATAATTAGAAATGTTGTAGGTTATTTATATTTGTTCCTTATTTGAAGTGCTCCTAAATAAAATAGAGTTTCATGGTTTGGTTAAGGAAAACGACATGTTTGTTTTTGTTTGATCAACTTGATGGGTTTAAAAGCTTATTTGATTATTCATCATGGAAATTGGTGAAACTAGCCATTTTGAATAATATTCGATCATATTTTACCTTTTTTCAAGTTGATAAAAAAAATAGTCAAATTAAATATAATTAGGATGGGTTCAACTTGCGAAATTGGCGTTATGGCTTGTTGGATGGAAGCAAGGGCTCGGGAAAAAAAATTGTCTTGGCAAATGAGCCACAAGAATAATATTTTGTTTATAAATTGCAAGTTGTAAATGAGCACCTGCGAAATCTTGACTATTTTGGTTCAAACGGGAAAAAGTTGCTAAAAAGTGAACATTTTCGTACAAAATGGCTAGTTTAGTCAATTTCCATAAGCAGTATTTGCACACCTTTTGCTTGAATCTTAAGTAATGGTTGTATAAACAACTCACTCTTTGTATGTTGTTCACATTAGATCATCTTATCTCAAATAGATCTTGGTAAAAAAAACAACTTTTAAGTTGTTTTCTAAGATGAGCTTTCGAACGGGTACAAGGTCTCCTGACCTTTTTCAGGATGCATTGATCGGCTTCGATTAAACGTTCCACTACGAGCCTAATGGTTAGAATACTATAAAACTTAGAAAATATTACGTAATATTATTATTTTACCGAGAAAATTAATACTTTATGAATACAAGAACAATTCAACAAAAAGAAAAAGAAAGAACAAGTACATAGCTTTTACTCAAGGAATCTTGATAATTGAAGTCACGCTAATGGGTCACAACATCGAGAAAATTGAAATCGATAACCAGCAAACGTCAGATTGAACTATCACGCTCGATAAAAAGAAAAAAGAAGAAAGCAGTAAATATATATATATATATATATATATGTGTGTGTGTGTGTGTGTGTGTGTGTGTTGGTGGTGTAAGATGATGAGGAGCTAGACACACAAGAAATGGTAGAGGATTGTATTGAAGTTCTTGGGCTGTTCAAGCTGAGGTACATGTCCTGCCTTCTTAATCACCTCCAATGATGCATTCTTCCCCAACATTCTAAACCACAACAATATCACACTTCAATATACATATACAAAACTGTATGTATATGCCACAATCATTGACGGTTCACAAAATTCGCTAACAATTAGATGTCGTATTAGTTGAATCAGAAAAAAACAAAATTGTTTATCATAAGTTTAAATAACTTTGATCTTCATGTTTTTATTGGAGAGGAACAGAGGATAGACTCCAAAAGACATATATAATATATATATATATATATAGAGAGAGAGAGAGAGAGAGGGGGGGAGGATCAAAAATCAGAACAAGTTCAAAATAAGATAACAAGAAAACAACCAAATCATATGAATCACATATGGTTTTACATGTGATTAGGGAACGCTGTCAATATAAGGGTGAGCGGGCGACCTGACCCGCGATCTCAAGTCTAGGCCAAAGTCGCATGAATCATATGTGATCTTATACGTGATTTTAGTGTAAAATCACATGAGATTTGTTTGTTTTCACGTTCCCTTGTTTGGAGACTATTCTCGTGTGAACCTTACTTTCACTCTCTCTCTCTCTCTCTCTCTTTCTCTCTCTCTCTCTCTCTCTCTCTATATATATATATATATATGATTAGGGGTCAGTTTAAGTTAAAAGGCTAAATAATGTGTGAATAAAATAAAAGAAGGTTCATAAGTGAATTCATCGAAAAAAATCTATTTGAAGATGCATATGTGAACCGAACTTACAAATTATTAATATGGGTGCACATATGCATCTTCAAATGAGTTTTTTCGATATTGAACATATGAACATTCCCTTATTACCTTTTCACGATATTTGGTCTTATTATTTAAACCTCCCACTACATCACTATGTTTATAAGTAATATATATGGTGATACGTTTATTATACTTGTATGTTTATAAATATGTAATTGTCATTATAATGAGATACATAAAACATTTTAGGATAAGCAATGGGAAGGAAGACATACTCTTTAAGCTCTTTTCCCATATCCAACAAAAAGAGGTTATCATGTTCACCCCATATGATCAACACTTCCTGCATTCACTTACATCAAATTAATGGGTAACCGAGAAACTCAAATCAAGTGAACACAAATACCATGTTTGTTTTTGTTGCTAACAAGTACCTCAAAACGAATAGGTTTGAACAATTTCCGATAGTTATTTTGTCACAAAACTCCGGATAAATCAATCATAATTGCAAAATCGTACCAAACACTTACCCTGTAAGTGCTTACCGGTAAAATTTAATACTATTGTTTACTTACCGGGTAAGTTTCTTGGTCCATCCCATATTCATCCGATAAGAAAATGTGATTTAGTAAGCGCTTATCCGGGTAGGCGTTTGGTAAACGGCCCCTAAGATACATGAAAATCCTTATTCTCCGAAAAGAAACTGAGAAGACGAGAGGGTTCCAACATATATCGAGAAGAAGATGTGCAAGTTTAACCAATGTGAGACTCTAATGCATCCTATAACGGAGGCTAAACATACCGTGTAAAATATATGGGACCCCAAAGTAACTGGTTGGTCCGATAACTTCGAATCCAACTTAAAGTTATTGATAATACATAATTCAAGATTTATAAAAACTTAGAAATCCCATTTTGTATGAATATAGGAAGAGTTGTTACAATTAAATTAACAAATGATTAACAGTGTTAGATTAGAACCTGTTGAAGAGGGGAAATGGTAGGGGTGTCATCTTGGCCAAGTGTCAGCCCTTTCAGCAATTCCAACTTTTCCTTCCTGTTTTCACCATACAATTTCTGCACCCAAAATTACACTTTTTCTTAGTTATATATTTACAATTCAATATATAACCAAACCTTCACTGTATTCAAAAATGAAATCATGTACATATCTTATCTTCCAACCTTATTTTTGTTAGATATGTTTCTGTTCTTATTTTTCCATAAATACAAGACAAAAAGATAATCAAATAACCACAAGGGTGGTGCTTGATTGGTTTGAGCTTGACTCTAAAGATCAAAAGTACTAGGAAGTCTCAGGTTCAAATACAAGGAGGAATAAAAATCCCCTTGTGGCCATGGAGGTTCAAATGCGGTGGCTCCGGGCTATCTACAAAGCAGGTGGTCGCCTGGGGATTAGTCGACTCGCATAACAGGTTGGATATCCAAGTTAATAAAAAAAAAGATAATCAAATAAGATAAAGAAGAGCAGTTAACTTAAGGGGCTGTTTACCAAACGCTTACCCGAGTAAGCGCTTACCAAGTCACATTACCTTACCGGATGAATATGATAAAATACCAAGAATCTTACCCAGTAAGAGCGAGACAAGGACCAAGAATCTTACCCGGTAAATGAAGACGACGACTCTTACCATGGTAAGTGCTTACCAGGTAAATTGTTGCATACGATGTCATTTTGGTGGACTAAAATCTTATTCGACAAGTAAATGATAGTGTTAAATTTTACCGGTAAGCGCTTACCGGGAAGTGTTTGGTAAACGGCCCCTTAATCTTAATATATTTTTTACAATACAATCTGTTAACAACCGTTGATTTTGTCAATTATGTATTGTTCTTCACATATTTTTACAAGAACAATAATTAATTGTTGACGCCTAAATTAATAAATGGTTTAATTTTGAAGCCAAGAATGCAGAGAATTTAAAGCATTCCTACAGATTAAGAATCATAATCAATATTTAATTAGTGGATGATTAATTGCAAACAAAATGAATTCTGTTGTTTAATCAACAAATTATAATTAACAATTAAGAGCCAATATTGATGGCGCAGCATGAAAAAGACAAAAACATTTTAAAATTGAAATGAAGACTTACGTCAATGAAATCGTTGAGAAAAAAATCCGGCATGTAGCCACCGTTGTAAACAGCCAAACGCAATAACGTCCGGAGCTGGCCAGCCGTCTCTGGCAGCATTAGCTCTTCGATTGTCTCCAAGTTGGCCCTCTTCATCAGCTCCTGATTATCCCTCCGCCTCATGTTAACTCCTGAACTTGAGATCACCACCTTCTCTACCCTTTCCGGCCACATCGCAGCCATTCTGTACGCCACGAAACCACCGTAGCTTGTCCCAATCACCGAGTACTTGTTCACCCCAACCTTCTCCATCAGCTTCGTAATGGCACTTGCTTGGAAGATCTCCGACCGTTCGGAGGAATTCGAGATGGATTCTCCGAAGAACACTAGATCGGGGATGTAGACGTCGAAGTGAGTCGCGAGAAACGACACCTATAATTATATAACATAGATTCAATAACTTTTTTAAACTACAAAAACCGTACGACATCATTTCTTAGGGAATACTGACCTGTAGCCGCCACTGCCAAATGCCGTGAGGACCGAATCCGTGAAGTAAAAGCAGCGACGATTTCCGATGGTCACCATTTGAGGGTGGTTTAGGTCCCCAAAAGTGGATTGTGGTGTCGGCATCAACGTCGAGGATTTGGGAGGAGAGTCCAGCGGCGGTGAGGGAACGGCGGATGAAGGAGCCGTACAAGGAGACGAAGCTGAGGCATGAGGTCACCATTGTTGTGGGTGTGCAATGAATTCTGAGGAAGTGAATAGGAAGGTTTTTTTTGGTAAGCTACTTCTGAAAATGGGCATGGAAAGAGGTGTGAAAATTTGGTACAACAGTTTATCTTTTTTGTAATGTTCTTTGAATGATGAGCAAATTATAAATTTGGTCCTTAAGGTTTTCTATTTTATACAAAACTGGTCCTTTATCTTTATTTACTATAAAAGAACCCTCTATGTATGCAATTTGCCTAGTTTTGTTCCCTCACACACTAGCACTGAAGTCCATCTATTCTCTTTGGAGGTCCAAATATGTACATGATCAGGACTAGTCGATCTCGTTCAAACAATCACCCTTTCTTGACCTTCTTTCTAGCATGAAACCCCATCTATACTAAACACCACCTCCCACTCTTTCTCTCTACCCTCTACACCACGACGTGAAAACCTGTTTCATTTCTAATCCCCGCCATCTTTGTCGCCCCAAGATCCACTGCTACCACAAATCGGGCACAGTTTCCACACCCCAAACATCCACCACACACTCTACCCACCAATACTCCATCGACCTCTTAAACTCTAGGCACCACAACACCCTATCCTCGTTGTTGTTTCCATGACCACCCTACGACATTGCCACCATGGCTTCTAATTCACTCTACCATATGTATTCCTTATCTGTAAACATCTCCCTATCTCTATTGTTTACATTTAAAATAAAGCTTTAACAGGAGATGGAGGAGGTTGACAGATTGGGTAATGCCAATAATGGTGTAGGAAACGAGGAGGGTGTTGGTGGGTGGTGGAAGATGTTCTAGAGGCAAGAGATATAGGGGCTAACGTCGAAGATGGAAGGGGGTGATACCGGTGATGCAAGAGGTTGACGCTAAAGATTCTTGAAGATGGAGGTGATACGGGTGTCTTCACGTCACCAAGAAGTTAGAGGAGGGAGAAAAAGTTTTTATTTTTTATTTTATTTATGAATTACATGTCATCGTATCATCGTCTAATTGGTGTTAAAAAATGCAAAAAGACAAAATAAAGAAACCAATAAAATTTTAATATCAAAATGGAGAGAAATTTAAAAGATGAAAACCACCCTCGTATTTGACAGAGAGATAGACGGACGATGTGTGATGGACCAAGGCAAGACAAATTGCATATATAAAGGGTTCTTTTTATAATAAATGAACATAAAGGACCAATTTTAAAATAGATTACAAACATCAGGGACCAAACCTATAATTTACTCTTGAATGATTATTATGCATCTTATTCTAATCATGTTCTTTATCTTTTGCCTTCATCATTATACAGCGGGTATATATACAATATTATTATAAATCGGAAATCAAAAAAATAAAAATAAAAATAAATTTCCGGCATTCTTTGAAGTTCATATCTTAACAAAATAAAAGTTTATAAGCGGTGACGGAACTCGACTTGCTAAATTGAAGATCCGCAAGAAAATTTGAAAAAAAAAACCTATCTACGTTGTGACGTACCAGTTAAGGTTTAAGGGACATCTCATATTTTTTAAGTTTGAATCCAAATAACGCTACTAAAACCCTTAGGTTCATCTCCTATGACTCCAGACAATTTATGGTCGCTCGATGAATATTAATCGGTACACGTAAATTAGTTCAAACACATGGACGGATCTATCGTGGTGCATACGGTGGCACGTGCCACCGTATTATTCCTCCGTTGAAGGGTAAAAAATTTTAAGTTCGTGAAAGGTGCAGCCATATTAATTTGTTGTGTGTCACTGTATGTATTTTGAAACCCCAATGAGAACAAGTTTTATTTGGTAGAGTTGGTTTGCAAGGCTTATATTCCACCACAGACTCAAGTTCGAATCATGTTAGTGTCATTTTTTTTAATTAAATGGTGCCATCGTTTGAATTTTTTTTCCATATATTTGTTTCTTATAGTCAGACGATACCACCGCTTGAAATTTTTACCCTATATTTTTTTTATAGTCAAATGGTACCACTGTTTAATTTTTTTTTTGCCCTCTCTATTAACAATCACGGTCACCCAATAAAGCTTATAAAACTTTTTGTTTTTAGTATAATTTAATAAGTCAAATTGTTGTTATAATTTATTTAGAATTAAAAATAAAAATGGATTTTTGTTTACAGTTCTTAATTCTCCTTTCAATATCGAGAGTTATTATATGTAATGTTTAATAAATGAAATGGTTTTAAAATATAATGGTTTATTTAATATAATATAATATTCAAATCGTTTGTTACATGCCCCACAAAGGATGGAGAACATTCTAATCCTACCAAACAATCCTACAACTCTCTTCTGCTTTTGCTTATAAAATATGTAACGTTTTTTAGTGGGTTTTTTTAAGTTTCAAAAGAAAATTAAGGGCCGTTTACTAAATACTTATCCGGTAAATGTTTATCAATAAAATTTAACATTGTTATTTACTTACTGAGTAAGATTTTAGTCCATCAAAACGACATCGCATGCAACAACGAACCGTGGTAAGAGTCGTCGCCCTCACTTACCGGGTAAGACTCTTGGTATTTGTTTCGCTCTTTATGAGTAAGATTCTTGGTCTTTACCATATTCGTCCGGTGAGGTAATGTGACTTGGTAAGCACTTACCCGAGTAAGTATTTGGTAAACGACCCCTTAATATAATGATTTTATTTTGAAAAGAACGAAAAAAAATATAGTAACGATGTTTTCATTTTCTTATCATGCATGACAAAATAAAATAAGACCAACAATTATACCTTCGTTCGGCCAAACATGTTGACATAAATTAAGGGCAGTTTGGTAAATTATGATCATGGTTTATACACATTTGATAACCTAGTAAAACATGTAAACAACAACGTTTTGGGTGCATTTGATACATTATATATGACATTAGGGGTGAGCATAGGCGGGTACCCGTTTTATTTGATAGGAACCGGAACTAGCGGTTCTTGAGATATTGGAACCGGAATATGAACCGGTTAGAGCGGTTATTGAATTTTTGGAACCGAAACCGGAACCGTCGGGAACCGGTTCCGAGTACCCGCTTCCTAAAATATTAAAATTTTGGTATTTATAAATAAAAAATAAAACATTGTCAAAACACTAATAAATAAACAAGAATACAAATTATACGGAATAATGGTTACAAATATTGTTTAACGATTACAAACCATAATAGACTAATAATAAATGTTGAAAGTTTAACGATTACATACTATAATTGTAAAGGTTCAAAGTTTAACGATTACATACTACAAATCCAATTAAACACACAATTTAAAAAAATACGGATCATTTTATCTCAAATTCTGAATCTAGAGTTCTAAGTTCTTGACCTAATTTAACCTAGTATTAAAAAAATTAATTTTTTTAATTGAAAAATACCGGGTACCCGCCGGTTCCGGTTCAGGGTACCCGCCGGTTCCGGGTATCCGGTGGGTAACGGTTCCGAAAAATTGAGAACCGGAACCGGAACCATTCTCAATCGGTTTTGTATTTTAGGAACCGGAACCACTCATATCGGTTCCGTTTCTGGAACCGACAGTTCCAAGGCAGTTTCGTTTCCGCAAGTGGGTACCCGGTTCCGCTGCTCACCCCTACATGACATGATACAACATAACAAAGATCACTGTTTTACGTTTAGTACATTAAACAGAACATGACATAATAAAACAGGGATTAACCGTTCAGTTCTGTTTAGTCCTATCTAGATACCAAAAGCACTCTTTATGTGCATAGTTAGTTTATTTTTTGCAAATTACTTGATAAGTTATTTAATACATGAATAATTAAATGTTGGTTGAGAAATTAGTCGTTGTTGCTCAATATATAAAGAGGGAAGTTTAGGGGAAAATCCTTAAAAAATGAAAAAACTGAGAAACACTCTGGTAACTAATTTATTATAAAAAGAACCATTTATATATGCAAAATGGAGGTGTTCTCGTTTGAACCTCCACATATACATATATATATATATATATATATATCTCCATATATATGTATACTAGAAGCGTACTCGCGCAATGCAGCGAGATATATCGTGATTTTAATATTTCATTTTATTCTTTATCTCAGTCGATGTTATAATATGGCTTTATGTGATTTTGAGAAAAACGATGATGCTTTTATTTTTGAATAAAATATATGTTTGAAGATATCATAAAATTTTGACAAAAATATATCGATATTAGTATCAAATTAACTATTTGAAATTCCTCATTTTTTGTGTAATTTTTTAATTCAACTTTTTTTATAATTTAA